AAGACTGGGAGCGCTGAAGAGAGGGAACAAGGAAGGTGAAGACAGAGTAAAGAGGAGAAAGATAGAGGGAGGGAAGGGTAGGAAGGAGACACAGACTGGAAAGAGTAAATTGATCAGGGACGCCAGCATGTCTGAGACAGGAAACCGAGTCATTATAATGTCAGCGTTGTTTATAATCAAGTCGTGACTAAATATGCTCCAGCTCTGATCAATCTCTGTTTAAAATCCTCATCAACATCAGCATCTTTAACTCATATCTGTGTGTGCGTCTACAGCATTTAAAACATTTGCCTTTGTCTAAAATTTCCTTTCTGCTTTCTTTTCCTTGCTTTCGTGCGGACAAACAGATAAAGGGCAAAACAGTAAGTGACTTTCCTTGTTGTGACAATGAAGAAGTGTGCGATGGCTCTCGACCGCTCGTGTCACTTTGTCCTATTGTTTCTGCTGTTATCGCTGACTGTTTGTCCTCCATCATCCGCCCCTGCTGCCCTGAAGTCACACAGAGCAGACAGTGAAGACCGGTACACCAACACATTTCTTGATTTTATGTGTCAGATGGGAAACTTTTGCAGAAAATAGCTGCAGCGTCTCAAAGTTTAGACACTCACGGCAGAGGTTGTCTCTGCCCACACAGACAGGTAGACCATCCAAGTTAAAAATAAGTCACTGATGTCAAAATGAAATAATGACATTTCTCCAAAATGCCTACTTCTCCAAAATTAAAAAGGATCTTATTTAAGTGCTGATCTCGTGCATTTTTTTGTTTTTCCATTTAAAATTTCATGATGGGTTTGAATATTCATTTAACCCACAAATTAAGGAAGAATTTGACATTTTGGGAAATATACGTATGTGCTTTCTTGCAGAGAATTAGATGAGAAGATTAATACCTTTCTAATATCTGTATACTAAATATGAAGCTAGGGCTAGACCAGTTAGCTTAGCTTAGCATAAAGACTGGGAACGGGGGAATCATTTAGCTCCTTAACTCCTACCAGGATCTCTAAAGCTCATAACGTAACAAGTCTTAATTATTGTTTAATCTGTACACGAATCGATAAGTTAAAACAAAAAGTTCTGCTTTTTCAGGAGGTCATGTGGTCAAGCTAAACTGCTGGCCCCTGGCTTCAATTGAATGGAAGGCAGGCAGACGTGAGAGTGGTATCATCTTCTCATCTAAATCTTGGCAAGAAGTGAATCAGAAAATGATAACTTTCCCACAGTGTTGAGTTATTGCTTTAACAAGCTGCAGACTGCAAGCTAGCTGCAACAGTTTTTATACACTTTGAACAACTTGTTATTATGAAATTAAACATTTGCTATGCATTTTTTAGCCTCCCTTACAACCGTCTAATAAACCCAGCAAAGTTCAAGAGATGGAGAAAACTAGTCATGACAAATCAAGCTCAGACTTACAGCTGGTTACTTCAGGTAGCCTAGTCTCAGTTAATTCTTAACTAGCTAGTTAAAAATAATGGATGCACAAAAGTTACTGAAACTAAACAGTGAGCTAAGCGTAACGGACAAATTGTCATAATACTTTCTAAAATTAAAAGGTGAAAATTTAAATGGTTAAGAAGTTCCAAAAAGGTTTGAAGGTTAAAATTTTTAAGCATTAGCTAAAAATAATGAATAAACAGGTGACCTGGATGATAAGGATAAACGGTTTAGCTAAATATATCATTGAATGGTTGAAATAAATTCAACAATAATGCATAAACAGTTTAATTAGTTCACTAAAAGTGTTTGATAAATGGTTGTAACACTATGCTTCTGTCACTCCAATAGTATTAATATAAATGCAAACTAATAGTGTTTAATATTTGGAACATGACAGGTGGTGCTGATGAAGGAGTACTTGAGCTCACCTGACAGGGCTGTGGTGGCACATCACCCCTGTAGATCATGGATGAGATGTACTCCTGTATTTGCTTGCCTGAACTCTGTATTAATTACTGCACATATATCTGTACATCCAACAAGTATTTCATTACTGTGTGTGTGTGTGTGTGTGTGTGTGTGTGTGTGTGTGTGTGTGTGTGTTGTGTTCAGTGTCAGAGCCTCCGGTGCTGACGGAGATGCCGATATCCTCCACAGCCTTTTCTCGAGAGGACATCAATCTGCCCTGTGAGGCCACTGGTAACCCGAGACCCATGTACGTACAGCAGCTAGACCTGTGTGTCATTTACCGTGTGTGTGTGTGTGTTGTGTGTGTGTGTGTGTGTGCGTTTCTGGGTGTATAATATATATAAAACAGAGTTGATAAATATAATGGAAAAAACTGTTTGTCCACTTCCTCCCTCCGGTCTTTCTGTTGGCATGGCGATAAATGTTCTTCTAATAAAATCACAGCAATAACCAAATCATCTCTCCATTTTTCCTTTGTATTTCCCCTCCCTCCCTCCTTCTCTCCCACTCCTCCCTGCTCACTCTCTTCTCCTCTATCCTCTCACCTCATGCCCTGCTTTTCTCTTTCCCAAATTTAAGCTTATTAGTTTAGGGGTCTCCAAACTGTTTCGTGTGAAAAAATCTTACATTAATTATCAAAAGGAGATGTACAATAGCCTAAATGTGAGTGATTTGGTTAAATAGATATCGTACTTTTGGGGTATTTTACAGTTTTTCCCACATTCCCAGATTTTGATAAATGCTATAAGACAGACCTTCATTATGTATTTGGTGTTGTCTGCGTGGTCAACATCAATAATAGGTTGTCCTGGCTTGATTATGTCTGTCTATATGATCATATAAGTAAACTAAGGGAGGGGCAGCTTATACCAAGCTTTTTCTGAGGGGAGGCCCACAGTCTCATTTCCTCCAATTTGTTTTACAAAACAATATATTTGTGAGTTGTTGTTAATATTTAGGTCTTCTGCAGGAACCAATGAGCTTGGATCTGAGAGCCATAGACAGGAAGTCAGAAAGTACTGAGAGACAGACTAACACATTGTCGGTTGTGGTCTTTTTCATGGAGTTTGTTGACGCTAAGAAAAATAGAATATTAAGTGCTTCCTTTTTCAGTGCCACACGTCACCAAGTCTACACATGTATTGCTTTGTTTTTTTTGCCATGAAAACTAAGGTATCGTCCCCTTTTTCTCTGTAGTTTCCGCTGGGTGAAGGACGGGGAGCCGTTCGGGGTGGAGCGTAAAGAATCCGGGACGTTGCGAGCCGAAGACGATGAGCCCCTCGAAACGTATGAAGGCTACTACCGCTGCTACGCCTCCAACATCCTGGGGACCGCCATGACACAAACCATACAGGTCATAGTGGAGCGTGAGTCTCTCGCACACACACACACACACACATACTGTATACACACAAACACACAGAGTACTGTATATCTAAAGTGATCTTCACTCGTGCTGATTCATAGACAGTTCACAGTTACATGAATGAAATGTGATGTATGATGTACAGTAAGGCACAAATCCCTCTCTGTCTATCTATCCTCCACACACAAACACACACACATTTGAATGACTCAGTGAGGTTGACTCGGGCCACCTGTTCTGCTCTCTCATCTCTTGTTACTGTGGCAACCATTTCCTGGAGACAGAGCAGTGACGTCACTCGGCCGGGAGGGTGCATGAGGTTATTGAGCAGGAGATGGTGCTGGGAAATTATTGTGTCACCTAACCTGAGCATAAAAAAAAAAAAGATGGGACGTATCGACTGCATTTACAGCGGCATAACGTCCAGCGGGAATACTTCGTTAAAAAATGTTGATATGCCCATCTGAGTCTCCTTTAGTTTCACTGTGCGCTCACAGAAAAAAAACAGACTCTTTACCAGACTTCCTTTGCCCTGGATTTAACCTCTCAGGCATTATACTGGCTACCTCTTTAATGGTGGAGGTTGTTGGGGCTGTAGACAAAATGGGAAGGAAGCTGTTTGCACTACTCAGGATTCAGGGCTGAAAATAGCTTCATCTCTCCATCTCCATGTTTTTGACATCTATTTTGTTAATCACAATATTGTCCTAAAACAGCCTGTCCTCCCCAGTAAAACAATATAGGTTGTTTGTTGAAAGATGTTAATTTACTGCATATTTACTTTTAATGGGCCTGTGACCACTAGTGGCTTTTTGACAGAGCTAAGGCGAAGTCAGGTGATGTATTATAAATGCCGAGATGGGTCAGAGCCAGGGCTTTCACACAGGAGAAGGCGTTTGAGTCTCATGTGAAGCCGAGTAGGCCTAAATGAGTTTTAAGTTAAAGAGCATTACTGACTTTCGTCCCGTGAGTGAAGTCACGTGATTTAAGTGACTTAAGTCATGAGATTTGTGTCACCTGACTTATGCAGTATACTTACTTTAACCCAAACCACAATGTTTTCCTAAACCTAACCAAACTGCAACCATTTCAACATTAACCGTGGGAGGTTAACATGACTCATATAATGTAGTTACGGTCCGGTCACCTGTTGCTGGACTGGTACAGGAAATACTCATCTGTGTCGTTTTGGGAGGCATTGACATACAACCTATTTTTTGGACACAAAACTTTTTATTCATCATAAAGTATTAGGAAGGAAACTAAATGTGATTATAGTTTTGTTGTATTTATAGTACAGTATTTTAAATAGTATCAGCATAAATTTTTTGTTATACTACCATTAGGACAGAAAGCATAAAAAGCAATTTCAATCATAGTTTGTTTATTGCTAAATTGTTTGAAATGTATGCACAAGCAGGAAATTTTGTGATGTGGTTATGTGCTATTTTGCGAACTGCCATTGCTGTTGCTGGAAACATTTACAATCACCGTGTACTAAAAATGTATTTTTCCAGAGGTTTGTAGTGCAGAAGATCCCTCACTGGCTTCCCACTTGTGAACGCATAATATATTTAGACAGATTACTTTACAGCTGAACTGATCTTTATATTACCGATGGAAAATTATATTTTAGTTATCCAGCCGGAGCAGGCAGCTGCTTACAGCAAAAAATCTCTAATAAACCAAATGTTTGCTATGAAAACAGCAGACAGAAAGTTGGTGAACATAGTGAAGCATTTAGAAGATAAAGAGCCAGATATTTCTCTCAGGAGCTGGTAGAGACCAAATCAGATCTAAAAGAGAGTCTGCTGGATTTGTAAATATGAAACTGTATGCTAGTTTTCCATATCAACAAATCTGCTTTAAAGCACAATAACCATCAGGATGTGAAATAACAAAGGGTGAACAGTCACATAACGATGTAAAATAAGCTGTGTTTTCTATGCATCTCTCATTTCATTCCCCTTTTGATTATGAGAAATCTTGCCATTGTTGGTAAAGTCAGTTTAATGGTAACAACCTCTGCTAAAATTGAAACAAAAAACTGTGAGGACAGGAACACTGACTGACTGCAAGCTTGCTGCAGCATCTTGTTGCATTATTTAGCTCCTGAACAAAAGAAAATACTGCAAATGTGACAGAGAGATAATAGATAGCACTGTTATTTAAAGAGCAGAATGTAATCCAGACTTTTCTGTCTTTCTTTACTGAATCAACAGGAAGAGTGGGACAGTATAACATCTCATCAGAAACATGTTGATGATGTATGTTGAAGTATATAAAGTTCTTAACTAATAATCTGTTTCTTTGTGTTTCAGCTCAACCAGTTCTTCTAAAACAACAAAAAATACATAAAAGAGCTTCAGAGGGAGACAGCATCATCCTGTCCTGCAACCCTCCAGAAAGCTCGACTCCTCCACTCATCCACTGGATGGACAAGAGTGAGTCTGTTTTTCATTTTGGCTTCATGTTTTCTGTCCAGTGTATTAGCTGCCATTCCGTGTGACAGACAGGCGGACACTTTGTGTATATTGGCTGTCCAGTCTTCCTGTTTTACTGCTTGTCTGTCTCTGTAAGTCTCTAAAATCTGAGCAGCTTTGTGGGAGTTACTCCGCATCTGTCATTCCAGCTGAGGGCCGTGTTGGAGGGATTTGCATCGCTACGCTGCATTGCAGAGCATTTCCACTCAAACTAATGAATGCAGTACTGTCAGCTGATTTTTCTGGGCTCTTTATATTTTCCTTTTCTTGTCCTACCTTCTCTCTTTCTCTCTCTCTCTCTACCTGTCTAATGAAGTAGTGCCTTTCGAGTTGTCAGTTTTGTTTAACTTGAATGAGAAAGTCAATACAGCAGTGCACTAAGTTCCTCCAACTTGATGCCATAAACACAAACATAAGCAAAGCTTTTGTTTCACTGGTGCACATTTAGGATACTAAGAGTGTTTTTGCACCACAATGCTCACAGTCACTATATATTACATGACAGAGTCTTCCAGTTGCAACAACTTTTACAATTTCTTTCCCCCCTCCCGCCTACAGTTGTACCTTAACTTTCCTGGTTGTGTCTCGTTCACCTCAGGGATGGTGCACATCAAGCAGAGTGACAGAGTGATGGTCGGCCTGGATGGGAACTTGTACTTTTCTAATCTTCTAGTGACTGACAGCAGAGACGACTACATCTGCCATGCCCAGTACACAGCAGCCAGGACTATTCTCCCTGAGACTGCGGTCAGACTCATTGTCACGCCCAGTGAGTGCACACAAATACACACACTTTCATACTTGCATTTCCCATAATGCAACCCCTAACCACCAACCCTTACTAAAAGCCCACTTCTGTAAAAAAAAACCACCTCCACTGTGAAACGTAGGTTTTCTGTTAAGAACTGTAAGTCGAGATAACCCTGATGACATCATCACACAATTCCCCAGTTCTGCCTAATGAGGTCATACTCAGGTGCTGGTTTAATAGGAAGACAAGGCAAGTTTATTTGTATATCAGCAACGAGGCAAATCAAAGTGCTTTACGTAAAACATAAAAGCATTATAGGGAAATAAAAAAAGACATTAAAATACAAATTTAAAAAAGATGAAATAGAAAATAAAATAGGATAAAACAGGACAGTAGAAATTACAGTGCAGTGTAAGTTGTGAGTGAGATTAGGCTAAATAACAGAAACACCTCTCTGTGTACTGCAATCAACAAACCATTAATCCTTCCATTTGATCTAAAATCCATAAGAAAATTCACTATTTTACAAGATTCTGTAGCAAGGGGGGAAAAGATCATGTGCACTATCACAATGATTTCATTTGTTTAGAGTGTATTGATTTCATATGCTCTCTCTCTCTTTCTCTCACCCACTCTCTCTCACTCCAGGTAATGATGTCGTTCGTGGTAGAAAACCCCACTTCTTCCGTCCCACTGACATCCACACCTCTGTGCTGGCCCTCAGGGGACAAAGCCTCACCCTGGAATGCATCCCCAAGGGCCTGTAAGGATCTCAGTGTGTGTTTGTGTGTGTAAAAGTGTGTGCGCTGTCTGACACACTGTGTCTTCCTATCTTAACTCCTCCACCTTCATTTCATATCCAGCTTAACATGTGACCTGTTGAGGTCATAGTGACGGGAAATAACACTCATTTTCAATAATGTAACAATAGAAATATGTCACAGCATCAGTTAAGTTTTAATTAATTTTTAAAGTGACTTTACTAGTTTGTATGTTTTTTGTTTTTTTTAAATGCTTAGTTTTAGTTTATTTTTTAGCAGGATAAATAAGTTTTAGTCTTTGGGCCGCTTTCGTCAGGAACAGCTAAGAAATTTGAAGATAGATTTCATATCCACCTGAAATACTAGGCTTATGTAGGGCCTATTAAATTAATTGACAAAGACAAAAGCTAAAGATACTTAGTCTAAATTTTAGTTTATTTTAGTTAGATTTGAAAACACACAATACATTTTCACAAGCCTCGTTTGTATTTATTTTTTCACACCTAGTTTCATTATTTTATTAACTATAATACACTTGCTTGATATTTTGGAAAACAGACATAGAGCACTATTTTAATCACATGAGCACGGCAACAAGTGCAGAGCAGCAGCTCTCGGGCGCACAGACTGTGTGGGCATCTCCACCTGCTGTTTTGGTTCATGTATGTGCCGCAAGCGCAAAGTGCAGAAAAGGTCTGGGTGAAGGTGAATACAGTGCAGATGGTGTGGTGAAAAACAAATACACGCTCAGCCAATCACATCATCTCATCCTCTGACAAAGCTGAGCCAATCACGGTGAAGCATGACACCAACAGCTCAGCACATAAGGTAATGGCCTCATGTTGTTGTCTTTATGGCACAGCACAATGTGAAAACACAGAACTGTAAATCTGCAGCCATGGAGGTGGGGCTTAAACAGGTTAACATTTAGAACAGCAATGATAGAAATAAATATAGTAATAAAAATAATGCTTGATGAGGAAAGCTGTTAATCCAGTGTTATTTCATAAATGGTCGAATCATATCGTACTTGATCCAACACAACAGCATTTGCACTGTAATTATAAATTTAAAAAAATGAAATGCCACATTTGCTCTGGTAATCCAGCGTCTCTATTTAAACACCGAGTTATGCCTGTATCATTTGCATGTAGTTTAATGAAAGTAGACACTGTTTGACGGTCGTGCTTAATGACTCTGACTTCTCATGTCAGAGCCTGCAGATTTATCAACATGTATCCTGCTGCCTTCAGATGGCTGCAGGAATTTAAAGAACTAAAGGGGAAGTGTTTCATGCAGTATGAAGAAGCTGCAGAAAATAGATAAAGAAAGAATCACCCACATTAACTGTAGACTGCTTTAATGGCTTTACTGCTTTAACAACATTAGATGTAGATTTCAGATGCAGATTTGAATGCATCTACTGGTTAGAGTGTGTTAAGGTAGGATATATAAAATTAAAGCATATGCGTGAGTATGTGAAAGTTCAAAATAGTGAAATACAGTAGGTGTGGCACCCAAGCATCAATTAAAGTCTAAGAAACAGCAAGTGAACACTACATGCTACCTGTGACCTGTAATCAGTCGTTATTCATGTTAAGTAATTTCAGAAATGTGCTCATATCTTCAGCTTGAATGTTCATTACTGAGTGTGGTGATAGCAGTTTGATGTTTAATTAGCTATTTCATATCTTTAATGTTTGTATCTGGCACCAGGTAAGCAACCAATCCTGGTTCCCCACACACGCACACACGTACACGCACACACAAGTTTGATACTAATCCTTTTAATTAAATAATTTTATCTCGCCTCTGGTTCATTGCTATTTTGTGTTCGCTCTAATTATCCTCCTTCCCCGGAGAGTTCAGTCTCCATGGCAATAAATGGTGAAATAGGATATTACATCATTAACATGATCATCTGTGTTCATTCAACTCTAATTTCCTCCATATCTCTCTCAATCAATTCATCTCCCACCATCGCCCTTCCCTCCACGATCGACTCTGTCATCGTTCTCTTTCTGCTCTCCTTTCCCGTTCCTCTTTTCATTCTTATCTCTGTGTCTGCAGACCCACTCCAAAGGTAGAATGGAAAAAGAAGGACAGTGCGCTGGGTGAAACAAGTGGCAGACTGGAGAGCCACAACCGCATGCTTCACTTCGAAAGCATCGCCCTGGAAGATGACGGAGAGTACGAGTGTACAGCCCTGAACAGCCACGGGTCCGCCACACGCTCCTTCACTGTCACTGTGGAAGGTGGGCTGCTGGACACACAACAGCAAACAGTACATGACTGCTGCTGTATGTTGAAAAGTCACTGCCATGTTAGTTCTGAGACTTGAGTGCTTGGTGGCAGAGAGCAGAAAGATGATGCTTTTCTTTCTGAGGTTGTTTACTAACCTTCACTTTGAACATGTTAAATTAAAGCCAGTAAATGTTTGACAGACTAAAAGTCCCTCAGGAAGCATCAAAGGGAAATATTTTCACAGACAACTTTAAAGCGGTACTTTAAATGAAGTGTTGCATTTTTTTTTTAGTTGTGGGATAGATATCTTGAATTTTTTTTTGGTATCTTGGTTTTAATATTTGTCCTCATCTGTATCCTAATATCTCCATGTAAACATATCTGCGGAGAGAAAAGACGTTGGAGCCTAAGCACCAAACTGTATGTTCTGCTGTAATAGACATTTCCCGTGAGTTGTCTGGCTGAACTAAAAGTAGGTGAAGCGCCTTTGGAACCTACATTTCCCATAATGCAACATAATAGCTTTTTTTATTAGACCCTCAGTGCTTGGTAAATTGCCATGTCTATTAAACGCAATGCCCCAAGTCCACAATACAGGCGTTTTGTTATAAATGTGTAGCCCCTCCTTTCTGAGATGACCCCGATGACATCATCAGGGTTATTTCTCTGATGTTAAAGGCTCCCACATGTATGTACGCTGACAGCTCCCCCCAAAAATGATTAAATAATGTTAAAAAACCTTCACACATTGGCTCAAACTCACCGTTAACTTTCCAACATCAGCAGTGAGTTGTTCTGTAATTTAGAGATTTTGTTGTGCTATTACAAATGTGTATCTTTAATTTTGTGCTATTATTTTCACCTTCTTTATCCGTCTCTGTTCTTGTTTAATTGTTTCATAGGTATTTTTCCTCACGCTGTGTTGTTCTGTACTGCATCAGTAAAAGATGTAATGCGGATGATTGGTTTAAGTTCATGTCTTTGCCTCAGTTTTCTTTTAAATGATAAGGGGATTTTATAATTGAACTGTTACATCAACAGGTCTGTAGCAGCAGCAGTAAATTAGAGTGGTTTGTTGTGTGTTTGTAGCGGCTCCCTACTGGCTGAAGCAGCCTCAGAACCTGCTGTACTCTCCCGGGGAAACTGTGCGACTGGACTGTCAGGCTGAAGGGATCCCGAAGCCCAACATCACCTGGAGCATCAATGGGGAGCCAGTCGCAGGTACGGCTTTCTTTTTTTATGTGTTTATTTGTTGTCCAGTCTGCTTGTGTTATTTTTACTTCTATTCCTGAAGAAAACAGTCAAGTACTTGATGAGCTTATACTGAAGTACTGTTTAAAACTATAGCTTAAAATGTACATGTGAAAAATGCCAAACAAACAGAACAAACAGCCTTTGAGACAAAATGTATTTTCCTGCTCTACCTCTACCTGCAAATGACTTAAACTGTTCTGTGGTAAAGTTCTCTGCCCTTTCTGACTCTGATGCCAAATTAAGTCCAGTGATCAGCACTTTTCATGATCAACTTTTCTTATGGTTCACTTAAAGTCTGACTTTATATCACACAAAGCTTGATGACCAGAGAGATTTCAACGATCATTTCCTGGCTCCACTCTGTCCACTACAACAGAGAGCCTCTTTTGCTTAGATGAATTAGACAGGGTACTTTTGTTGAGATGGACTCACCAAGATCCTCATCTGACTGACTGAAAGAACCTACAGGAAGGAAGGAGGAAAGAAAGGGAGGAAGAAAGAAGGAAGAAAGGAACGAAGAGAGGATGGTTGGGTGAAAGGAAATCAAAGAAGCAAGGAAGAGAAGGCAGGAAGAGAGGGAGAAAAAGAGGGAGGAGGAAGAAAGGAAGAAATGGATGGTAAGAAGGAAGGAAGGGAGAAGAGAAGACAAGGAAGACAGAAATAAAAAGAAAGAACGAGACAGAGAAAGGAAAGAAGGAAGAATGGAAAGAAAGAAGGGAAAAGGAAGCAAGGGAGAAAGAGAGGAAGGAAGGAAAGATAATAAGGAGGAAAAAAGGAAAAAGAGATGAAGGGTGGTAGAAAGAAAGAAAGTAAGATAGTAAAGAAGAGTAATAGACAGGAACAAAGGAAGGAAATGAAAGAAAGAAAGAGAATGAACAAAAACACTTTGGCTACATTAGAATTACACCTATGCTAAAAACACAAACAGGAGTTGGAACAAAATTTAAAAACTGAGAACCACAGCTGCTGAAATGAGACAGGAAACAGAGGAACAGAGAGACGAGGAGCCTGAAACAGCTGCTGCTTCGTCCGTTGGACGACAGCTTCTTGGTCAAACAGTTCTTTGTATGCAGCCTGCAAAGAGTTTCTGTTTGACAAACTCACAGTAATGCTCTATTTTTAACCTCTTCGCCTGCTCCGTCTTCTTTCTCACCGCTCTTCTCCTCCCCCGCTGTGTAGAGGTGGACGACGATCCCCGTCGGAGTGTATCGGGTGGTGTGTTGATACTGAAGGACGTCGAGTACGCTGACACCGCTGTGTATCAGTGTGAGGCCACCAACAAACACGGCTCCATCCTCCTCAACACCTACCTCCATGTCGTTGGTACGCTGCAACGTCACTTTCCCCTCAGCCTGTTAGAAGAGAGCTGCTTGTTCTCATAACATGGGATGGATTAGTAACTGTGTTTATTTCTGTCCTCTGTGTCTCTCAGAGCTTCCTCCTCAGATCCTGTCCTCTGATGGAGTGGTGTACAGAGTCACTGAGGGCAAAGACATCAAGCTGCACTGTGAATCCTTCGGCTCGCCACGACCACATGTCACATGGTGAGACACATACACACACACACACATTATTCAAACTCAAAGGTAGTGTCTGAGCAACATATTCTCACTCCCAACTCGTCACATATTGATGCTGGTCAAGGCCCCTTTTAACACCTTAACCACCTCCTTACTCTTTTCTGTTAAACATCATATACCTACCTTTTTACGCTACAGGACTTCCCCCACTGCGTTGAACTATGACGCTAAAGGGATCCCCTGGGCATTGCAAACTGACACTTTATGGGTCTTGACCTTGCGTCCACATGTGACGAATCAGGGATTGAGAACGGGTTGGTCTAAGAGCGCCTATAATACATTAAAACTTACTGGGAACAAGCCTACGGAGAGTGAAGGCCGGCTATGGTCCAAAACAGGTAAGAAGTCCAAACATTAGGACAGGTGCAAACAATCAACCAAGGACAATACAAAGACGGGAAGTAAAGGTTCAGACGCGACCGAAGAGACTGAAAACTTTTCAGGTATTTATCTGAAGCTTAAAGACCTCCATCTAAAACTCTGAAATCTGCATCTGTATGTGCTGGTGAACCCATTTGGTCTGAGTGCAGCAATGTAACTACATATAATGAGTATCAGCAGTGGTGTAATCTAAGTATATTACTCAAGTGCTGTACTAATGCAGTGCTCAAGTACAATGTTGAGGTACTTGTATTTACTTGAGTATTTTCATTTTATGCAACTCCACTACATTTGTCCTACAGTTACCAGTGAATACTAGTACTACAGTACTGGTGTGGATCAGCTGAAAAATGCATCGTCACGAGGTTGAAATATAGAATATAATGCACTGCTGTAGATTAAACTACCCAGAAGTATATAAAGGAGTTAATATGAGCTCAACCTTAAACATCTACAGCAAAAACAATGCAACAAAGACATTAATGCAGCAGCAATGTTAATCCAGAAACATCCAATGTAATAGTGAAACTCTTACAGGAACATTTACTGCACAATGAATACTTTTACTTTTCATACTATACGTAAATTTTGCTGTTACATACATTTAACAAAGTAAGGTTTTAAATGCATACTACGTTTACCAAGACCAGTTGACCTTGATTTTAACCTTGCTTTGATAACTATGACCTGGATAACTGATCTGAGACTTTCTTTTCCCCAAAGACATTTTACAGAAGGAAAAACTCCGGTGGAAATAATAAAATGAATGTTGGTTGAATTTAGCTGCTCTCAGTCAGACTGTCATGATCTTCTGGGACACCTGAACAGACAATGCAGCCATCGATGTGATTATTTACACCTCTGCTGGGCCTGTAGAAAAGGCCCATTCTGTGGTTATCCAACCTCAAGTGACTGCTGCTGCTGTTACAGTCAAATGACTGGCTTATTAATGGACACTAACTAATCCCATGTATCTACTAGCAGGTTCTGTGTGTATCACAGTCTGATCTCTCTTCTTCCTCTGAGCCACAGAGCTCCATTGTTGTCCAAAAACTATTAAAAACACATCAATGAGCCTCACTGTCGCACTGGGTGACGTGTCAGCATATCTGGTGTTTGTCCGTCCCTCAAAACTTTCTGACGTTCTTCTTATCTTTTAAGTTGTAAAACGAGATCTCTAAAGTATCAGATCATATTTAAAATTCTTTAAAATCCCTAAACCTTGGAATGGAGTCTCTATCTTAAAGTCTATGTTTATGTAATACAGCCTAAGGTATTTTCTCTCAATGGAGCAGCGCCCTCAGGTGGTTGCATTAACAAAAAGCACTCCGGGAGCAGCCACATCAGTCAACTTCAATCAGCCCCTTCAGGGTTCCGTGTTTATTGTTCTTATGAAAAAAAAAAAAGCTAAACTTGTGTAACTTAATTGACAAATTTCAGTTGGTTTGCAATTTCCTGAAAGCTCATATCACCACTGTATGTACAGGGCCGTAGCTCCCACTGAGGTCACTGAGGTCACATTTCTGGGAATCTGAGGGCACATATATTACACATGTTGTTCTTTAAAGGCTGATTCTGGTATTTCTTTAAAATTGACTGTTTTTAAGCTAAAACATGTACATACCTGGCAGAGACAGCAATTTAACATTTAGACCATAACAGAGAACACATAATAGAAAAGATAAATGAAGAAATATCATGTTAAATTATGATTTTGGAACAGTTTTCTTTTTGCTGTCAACTCTTTCATATTAATAGAACACTGTATTATGTATTATGCAAAGTCTGCTTTTCCCCAGTGAGAGGTTGTTTTGCAGGCTTTAAACATTATGCTCACAATGTGCAAACTGAAATAGTTTCTTTCTCTCTCTCTCTCTCTCTCTCTCTGGTCATTTATTGATCTTTTTCCATCTACCGTCCATTCACTGATGAGCCGGGAAACACACTTCCATTGATGGAGTTACGGGAATTTACTGTTGCTATAGTATTCGTTTCTGGGCGCCTAATGTTGTAATAAACCTTGAAAGACTCAGGAGGGACACCTCTGATTAATGTACGTAAGGATCAATATCTGTGTGTGTGTGTGTGTGTGTATGTTCTTTGTAGGGAGGGTGAGAACAGGATTCCTCTGCTGTCGGACCCTCGTGTCTCCCTGCTGACCAACGGGACGCTCGAGCTGTCCAATGCTGGTCATGATGACAGCGGAGAGTACACCTGCTCTGTCAAACACTCCAACATCTCCATCACTGCTCACCTGGAAGTCTTCAGTGAGTCTCACACACTTGCCATAAAGTAATCCTCAGCTCTGAACAAGCAGACTAACACCTGTGACAAAGTATAGATTGCTATTATTAGACAGACATGGATCAAAACAAAAGAAGAAGACATAACAGACAGAAGTTATGATATGAATTTGGTTTTTAATTGCTTTTGTTAGTGGGAGATCTATGAATAGATATTTCAAAATTTGTATGTGTTTGTGTGCATGAGTGAAAGTGAGTTGTGTATTCATCTGCATAAATAAGTGTGACAGGAGGAAGGTTTAGGTATGTATGAGGATGAGGCGGAAAAAACAACTACAAAATAACAGCAACAATATTGATAAATAAATTAGATGATTTTGTTTAAAGAACAAAAAGTAATGAATAGAAAATATATGTATGTGCACACTATGTATTTAATATAGTAATACTACAGTATAGTAGAAAAGGAAACTTGAGTTTTGCATTTTTATGGTTTTTAATGTTTTGGAAGTTGTCATTTAATGCAGAGCAAATATTCATGTACCCATATTGTTGGGTTAAATATGCAACAAAGGTCACTTGTTGCTATAATGCGGCATGCACATTGGACAGTAACCACCGGGCTGCCAAGGCTCTCCCCACTTAAAATTATATGTTGAGTTGAAACCATATGATACTGAATTAAAACAAAACTGTACTGGACAAATAGACAAAACTAGAGAGGAACACGTTACAGAGTTTTTAAACACACAAGAGAAAAACACAGTTGGAGAACACTGACTTCTTTAGAAACTTAAAATTACACAAATATTTCTTAAAAGAGATTAGGGAAGCAAATATTGACAAATACTTAACCGAACAGAATGACAATATTAAGTTTAAATGATAAAAAAAAAACAGTAAGCAGTAGGCAGTGTTTGTCATTATGCCAGAAGGAATAACAGGAAATTACAGATACTTCCTGAGAGGGAAAACGGCAATCAGTCGTAAATGGTTGCATATTGATCCGCCTAGATAATTGGCTTGAAATCATTAAAGAGATCCATGAGATGGAAAGACTGACTTATATTCAGATTGAGAGATGATTTATATCTTGGAATAAAATTGATGCTAAATTTGTTGGAAAATTTAACACATCCAACTTTTTCTCCTTTGTATTTGATTCAGCCTTCTATTTAGGTTGTATTCTCCAATCATGGATATTTATGTGCAATGATGTAGAGCTACATAAAGACTGTGATGTGGGTGTCATGATGCCTGATAACAGTGTTGTTCTTTTCTTTGTTAACATATTTTCTAATAAGATTTAATCCTTAAGAGCCACAATTGAAAGTCTACTCACTTCCACTGTACTAGAGCAGAGGCAGAAATCGCCCAGGTTGTTAAAAACATGCACAAATGAAATATTTGTGATCTGTCCAGAAGGCACACAAATATGTGGCCATGTGCAATGAAAGTGTTAAGGATAAACAGGGTCTTTCACTCTTTTTTACTTAACATTCATGTCAAGAAGCTCAATTCTTACATTTATCAATAATGAAGATAGTAGACACAACCCAAGACTTTCTGCAAACTTCCCTGCCCAGCACACATGTCCGAATAAACCAAGCTTCCATTCATGAACACTGACACTGGCAGGCGCAACAAACTGGTAAAGTTTGTTGCGCCTGCTAAGACATGCACAACAACCTGTGTAAAATAGTCATTTTTCATGGTATTGGTATGAAATTGAAACTAGGACAAGGTGAGGCTTTATGCCGTGTCCCTACAGTGCTTTCCAGATAATAAGTCCCAGCTATAGTTGTCTACATGCATTTGTTAGCAAGCATTTTCAAGCGGAAATGTAAAGTATATTAGTTTTAGTGTCTTTAAACTTATATGAATCAATTACAATCATTCTGACCTTTGGGTTAGACACTCCAGAGTGTTATCTTTCAGAGAAACTCAAAACCAGGCATACACTCCAAACGGTTCAAGAACTGCATTGAATTTACTTTGGATATGCCTTGAATAGGTGTTTGACATGAATTTGACAGGAATGTTAAGAGGTTAAAAGACTTTCTAAAAACCTCCAGGTGCCTTTGTTGTGGTGCAGCTAAACTGTTATGCTTAGAATAACACTGCTTAAATGGAGACGTTGCTGTTCTTCTGGCACTTTTGACAGTTTACAATGAGCATTAGGCCTATTACCACCTACTTGTCGAGTGGGTAGGGTCGACCCTTATTTGCATGTGGTCTTCAAATTACAATCAGATTTATGATCAGGCTAGCACAGATGCAAATATGTGCAGTGTGTGCTAATGACAAGGGTAAAGGGGGTCTTTTGGACTTGTGGGTGTAGCACGCACATCCAAACATACCACCGTGCCATTCATGAACAATGACACTGGCAGGCGCAACAAACTGGTCGCCTGAACAGGGACTTGAACCCTGGACCCTCAGATTAAAAGTCTGATGCTCTACCGACTGAGCTATCCAGGCTTCACGAAGACATGCCTGACAAGGAAATCATCACGCTAAGTCCAAATCCCAATTTACATACCACTACACCAAAGAGGACTATGTGGATTGTGCACTTTCTTTGCAGTTTGTATTCAAGAAATGTTTTATCTTCACCAGGCAGTCATAGCACAATCTCACATGGTTCAACACGTTCTGAACTCTAACCTTTCGAGTGACACCAAATCCGACCCAATAGGAGCTCACATGTCCGTTTCACAGCCTTCAATAGCCAACGAGCACCCGCGCTGTAAGGAAGGGCCAGCCCCTATTATTTCGTGGGTAGGCCGAGCCAATCGCAAGCAATTGTGCCGATGACTGGCACTTCGTGTAGCCAATAAAATTCTGAAAATAACAATATCCAGCTTTAAGTAGGAAGTCCATGATCTACCAGCAAAAAAACACATCTGCGTCAAACTACGGCGTGATGCAGCAGCAGCCGCCTGCCGCCAAGGGGTGGTGCTGTTTTAGAAAAAGTACGCTAAGACATGCACAACAACCTGTGTAAAATAGTCATTTTTCATGGTATTGATGTAGCACGCACATCCAAGCATACCACCGTGCCATTCATGAACAATGACACTGGCAGGCGCAACAAACTAGTCGCCTGAACAGGGACTTGAACCCTGGACCCTCAGATTAAAAGTCTGATGCTCTACCGACTGAGCTATCTAGGTTTTCGAAGACATGCCTGACAAGGAAATCATCACGCTAAGTCCAAATCCCAATTTACATACCACTACACCAAAGAGGACTATGTGGATTGTGCACTTTCTTTGCAGTTTTCAAGAAAGTATTCAAGAAATGTTTTATCTTCACCAGGCAGTCATAGCACAATCTCACATGGTTCAACACATTACAGTCTGACACAAAGACCTTTCAAAAGACTTTCTGAAAACATCCATGGAGCTTGTTTTTTTGGTGCAGCTAAACTTTAAAGGTTAGAATAACACTGCTTAAGTGCAGACGCTGTTGTTATTCTGGCAATTTTGAGTTCACAATCAGTGTTAGGTTTATGGCACTTACCCATTGCTGGTAACAGCTCAACTTGACTCTGCTCAACTTGTTTTTGTGCCCTATCCTCTGTTTTCCATTGCCGACATAATACCCCCTCAGTATAGTTAGTTGTTGTGGTGATGTGGCACAAAACTGCCATGACGTAATCTTCATCATGACATACACACTTTGGCCCAAACCTCTCCACACATGTACCTCCAGAGACGGCAGCATGGTTTTGCGTTTTGCCATAATAATAAACAAGGTAATAAAGTACATAGAGTATCTTTACAGTTATTATCTCACATTCTCTGGATAAACTATTGCAAAATGGTAGGTTTCTTCGGGACACCCCATCTGGCGGGTGCAATGATTATGCAGTGAATAGTGACAATTCTCTCTGACAAATCAGGAGCCTGCAGTGTTTTCAGACCTTGTTGTGTCGCCACTGCTCGCTTGGAACCTCGACTTTGGTGACACCAAAATTTCTACAAGGTAAACATCTACCAGGTAGATTCTGCCCAATGGGAGTCCTAAAAAGGTGATTAGAGTCAAGGCAAGTCGAGCTGGTACCATCCGGTGAAAAACTGACTTAATGAATACACCATCAACTAGGTGGATAGGTTACCAAATGTATCATCTTTACTTCACCAGGCAGTCATAACAAATCTGGCATGGCTCAACATGTTTATTACAGTCTGAGACAAAGACAAAGACTGTGTGTGTATGGCTGAGAAACTATGCTTTTTCATAAATTGAGTGAACTGATGCTGTAAGAGTGACCCATCATACCCCTTCTGCGCACATTTCTCCCCTTGAAAATTATTTTTAGAGTTAAGTCATGAATAAATGCAACATGTATGAAATGTATTAATATTTATAAACGGGAGGAAATGACTGATGTTCCAGATGTGCACATGTAAAGCAGATACCTGAAAGGACAATATAAGCTCAGTATAAATAAACACACCTGCACACAGTAACCTTTCCTGTATTTTGCTGTCCCTGTCAGATCGAACAGTGATACTGACGAGCCCCCAGGACGTGCGGACGCTCAGAGGAACCAGCGCTCTGCTGGACTGTCACTTCCTCATAGACCCTCAGCTGCCTAATCCCCAGGTCGTCTGGAAGAAAAATGGACAGAAACTGCAGGCATCGTCACCAGATGACAAGTAAACACACACAAACACACACACACATACTGAGATGTTTCATTAAAAAAAGAAACTCTTGATATAACATATGTTGGTAGGTTGTTATAACTGGACATTTCCATATGTTGTGTAAATGAGAAAAACATCCAGCCTAGTATATTATATTATTAGTGTTACTAAAATACTACTACTATTGCTGCTGCTAATGTAGCCTAACCCAGCTGCCTGAGTGTGAAGCAAGGAATGACTAAAAGATTTATGCTAAGTTAATCAAAATTTTATTGAAATTATTGACTTGCAAAAACAGGCAGATGTCACAGTGCTACCATTTAAAAACTGATGAATGTTACTTACACTTCTTCCATGCAGTTTATAAAATACTTATAAGAAAATAATGCATTTAAATGAGAAGCAGAAACTTGTAGCAGTTTAATGGTAACAGTATCCCATTAAACTAATACAAGTTAACTAATTTGCCAATTAGTAGTCCAGCCGCTAAAATAATAATGTATATAATTGTGTACATGTGTGTGGATCTGTAGGTACACTGTCCATGACAATGGCACCTTGAAAGTGACTGACATCCAAGCAGACGACAATGGTTCTTATTCCTGTGAAGTCATCACCGACCTGGACAACATAGAGGCCAGTGGCTCCATCACTGTAGTCGGTATGTCACTGTGTGTGTGTGTGTGAGAGAGAGAGAGAGAGAGAGAGAGAGAGAGAGAGAGAGAGAGAGAGAGAGAGAGAGAGAGAGAGAGAGAGACTGACACATGTGTTTATGTAAAGGTGTGACAGTTTAGTTTTCTGTTGGGCCCTCAGCACCCCCGGACCCCCCCAAAGGTCTGACTTTATCTGATGTTGAAGACCACAGCCTCACTCTCAGCTGGATCCCAGGACACTCACACAACAGCCCCATCACAGGTACTGAACACACACACACACACACACACACATACACAACCCACACAGCAAAGACTTGTTCATTATTATTATATTGACCACAGTGTTAGTGGAAGAAGTACTCAGATCTTTTACTCAAGTAAAAGTACAATATATATAAGTACTCCATTATAAGTGAGAGTCATTAATAATGAAATATCCCTGTTTTCAACATTCACTACCAAACCTTCCAGGTTTTCACCACAGACAAACAAAGATTATAATATTAAATGTGCACTTACATAGACATTTATCATGTTCTGTCCCACTCATTATTACCTAACCTGATATAACATCATCAACAATGCACCACAGCCATGGTGCGTGCTGAAGCTCATACAATATGGTCCCCCTAAACTGATCACCAAAGCAGTGATCAGCCTCTGACAAATGTTTGCACTATTCATTAAACAGCCATAAACACAGAGTAACAGAGTGAGCTGTGTTAAACTGTCCACCACCTTATTAATATCCAGGGCTCTGACCAGATAGTTAGATGCTAAAAAACGAATTCTGCACTTAGAGCAAACAGGGTATCGAGCAACATCGAGTTATTGTTAGGCCAGGCTGTCTAGGATTCAGGAGTGGACACAGAGGCACGGTTAGAAACAGGTACAGGGGTTTTATAGAACAACAGGTAGGAGTGGTGCTTTGAAATCCTCTGTGAGGCTGGGGCTGAGTGGGCAGACAGGCAAGAGGCTGGTCCAAAAAACAACTTGGTTCTTCCAGAACTGAAGCGGGTATCTGGAGCAGAAGCAAAAACATGCAAATTCAGACAAAGATCAAAACAAGAGATTCAAAAGGCAGACTAGGCAAAACACTCTAAAGCTGGCCGTAGCAAAGGTTACTACTTGGGTAAATGGACGATCTGGCAGAAACTGGTTGGAAAGCCGGGGTTTAAGACAGGAGAGGTGATTGTAGAATCTGCTGCAGGTGAGTAGGAAGCCACAGGTGTCCTGATGAGGAGAGAGAACCAGGAGCGTTATGCCCACACAACACACGACAGACAGGTGACAAAACAAAAGCATAAGGGAGAGGGGAAACAGTCAGAACACACTAGGACTGGGGAGGCAGCAAGACAAATCATGACAGTTATCCTTCTTTAGATATTAAACAGTTTCCACCAATAACTTTTGCACTTTCTACACCTTAAGTCACAAAAACAACTCAAGTTGACCTTCTTACAAGCACTCAGTCATTCTGGTTTGTTTGCTACCAACATTGCGCCATACCGTATGTGGGGACTTTGCTATAGCCTGTCAGTAAAGGGGTCCCTCTGGCTATCCTGTCAGTTTCCTGCTCAGGGTCCATAGTTATTTTACAGGATGTAGTATTAACATCATGGCGTCTGTCTCAGAGTTCATCGTGGAGGCCCGGAAGAGCAGCACACAGAGCAAAAGAAGTGGCAGTGGGAGGAGTGGAAGAGAGTGCCCGGGGCCTTCAACCATTTGGAGCTGACCCTCCACCCATACTGCACCTACCGCTTCCGGGTCATCGCCGTCAACGAACTCGGCCGCAGTGACCCCAGTGAGCCCTCAGAACACCACAGCACGCCACCAGCTGGTAAGTGACACCAGGTGCTGACACAGTTATGATTTGTAATTTTGATTGAAAGTCTGTAATGTTTTGATGACATTTTCATTAAAGTCCCACACTTGTTTTTTCTACTTTCAGTTAAGTTAATTCTTAAAGAAATAATTCAACATTTTGGGAAATAAGTAAGGGGTATCTTGTATCTGTTTTCAAATTAAAATCCCTCTAGTTTCCATGCAGACTCCCTTTATTTCCTCACAAAGCTTTTATTGAGAAACATTTGCATACTGTTGTGGAAAATTCAGTCACTTGCAAGGTTCTCATAAAGTACTTTTAACTCTTGCCATCTTGTGCCGCAGGCACCAAGAGTTTATCCACCATGTATTAGGGGCCAGCCTTTATTTGTTCATGGCCCCCAGCCAATGTTTGAGACCCGGTTTATTTGAGAAAACCCAGTATTCACTTTTTTGTTAAGAGTTCGTTGAGAAGATCAATGGCAGTCTCATGTTAAGCTGAATGTGAAGTTACACCCAGGATAGCTTAGCTTAGCACCCAGCAAAGAAATAATCAGGCACATAACCCCCCTATAAACCACAACTTGTTTTGACACTTTTAAAGTCCTGTTTGGCTGTTTTGTAACTGTTGGATAGTCTTTGTACAGAAAGCAAATACTATTCCTCAGCCTATCTCTGTAAAAGTGTCTTTCTCCCTCTGCCTCCTTCCTCAGTTCCTGACCGTAACCCCACTGGTGTGCGCAGTGAGTCCATAGACCCAAAGACTCTGATCATTGCATGGGATGTGAGTACTTCAGTTTGTATGCACCTGTGTGTAAGCATGCTCTGATGCACGCCAAAATGTGTCTAAATTAATTGTATGTTCCTGTGTGTCTTTGCAGGAGATGGACAAGCGGTTCCATAACGGCCAGGGCTTCCTGTACAAGGTGTCATGGCGGGAGGCTGGAGGAGCAGCATACACTGGGAAAATGTTGATGTACAGTCTCCGCCGGTCGTTATAAACAACACAGGAACGTACACGCCGTTTGAAATCAAAGTCCGGGCTGTCAACTCACTCGGAGACGGGCCGGAACCAGAGCCTGAGATCGGATACTCCGGAGAGGATGGTACGTCACCATAACACTGTGGATCATTCATTCTAGTGTCAGAGCCAGAGATATAGTGATGAGAGGGCAAGTCTGAGCTAACATCTATGAGCTCACAGCATCAGGCTCATGAAACTGTGCAGTGGGCAAGTGATTAAATACACATAACACTGTGTATAGTAATCATCAATATGCAAATATAGCTGTGCAAAACACACAATCAATTTAGGTGCAAACATCATTACAAAGAATGATGCGACCAAGCACTACACACTGGTTAACAGTTAAATTAAGAAGAAAAAAATAAAATAAACTGGTTATGTGGGTACACTATATTCTTGTTGGTCATTTTCCCCCAAAAGGAAAACAAACAAACAAGTTCAGTTTCAAAACATATGCATGAAATTTAGCACCTCAAATTTCCATCTGGACTGAAAGTTCACTGAGTGAAACGTCTCTGGTGTCAAGCAGACTCTATGAATCAGATTAAATTGTAATTAGCTGCATCTACAGCCCGTTCTCATTCCCTGAGCGTCAAATATCTACGCTTTGTCACGTCCTTCGGCGTCTGGAAACAACACACATGGCAGCTTTAGCGCAATTTTTCAACACACTGGGTAAAGGCCTTTAATGCCATTGTTCAACGCTAAAAGTACAACTATAAATGACTGGAGAAAGTCTGGAGGTGGTTCCTGTTGGATGGCTCAGAACTGGGCTTTCACCCAGGGGACCGGTTTTTGTTTCCCACATGAAACAAAAACTTGACATTGATTCCTTTTAGCGTTGTTACGTCAGTAGCATTATTTAACTTACATAATTTAAGTCACGTAAGTAACGTAGTTATTTTAAGCCAGACCTAACCTATAGTTTTGTTGCCTAAACCTAACCGATCTGCGACATTTCACAACGTTAGCACTAGTTTTATTTTGAAAGTGTAAACAACCATTGCATATTTATTCTCGCTAACTTGATCGCGGAGCCCTACACGTACAACAATGATGCTTAAGGGTACCCGGGGCGTCTTGAGAAAATATTCATATGTGATGCCCGCACGTTAAGTATGCAAGTAAACGTCTCCATGGCCAATAAGAAAAAAGTCAGATGTTTTTGAAAATAGTGAAAAATTCCATCTGACTAGATGTCGTGTCTGATCTGAGTAATGCCATTTCTCCCAAATTCTCACATATAAAAGGAATGAAATCATCTTACAATAAGATTGCTTCACAGTGTATCCAATGTCTCTCTCTTTCTTTGGAATTAAAGTAGTAACTTTTCAACATGAATGCTGTGGTCTGTTGTGATCTGGTTTATGGGGGAAAGCAGGCGTTCAAATATGCAGTTAGACAGTGAGATAGTTGCTGCCAGTTGTCTGAGAAAAAATGTCTTTTGGTCAAGACTCAAGATCCTTAATGAGGGATGGATAGGCATTCAGTGGAAACAGAACTTCATGCCAGTGTGAGGGAAAATTCTCCCCATAATTGTTATCCTGCCTTGCTCTCTTGCTTTATGCATTGAGAATAGAAGAGTCTTATGCATCCAACATTGTGAAATCATGCTTAAGTTGCCGGGTAACTAAATATAAGTAAACTTAAAGTCCCTGCAAGTCATATTGGTGTAAGGCTGATGATGGCTCGTGCTTGCAAGCATTGAAAAGATCTGCTGAGAAGAAACATTGAGTCTTGACTCTTGTTACTTGAGTACCGACTGCAATAGACAAGAACAGATTTTTCAGTTTCAAGTTTTAAGAATTGGGAGTGCGCTCTCTGCTGGAGCCCTTTGAGTTAACACTTCATGTAATTCATTAATATCAATAACCCACTCATTATTCAAGTGGGTGCTACTGTCACAAATTTGGGTGGCGCAGGCCCATGCAACCCTACAGGGTCTGACTATTTCACTCAAATGACAAGCTAATTTATTTAGTAAAAATAATGTCTGGAGTAATTTATAGTAAAAATACACAATGTAAACTCATGCAAGAAGGATCACACAGTAGTAGCCTAGAATATAACACATGTTTTCTTAATTTAAATAATTTTGCTGTTTTTTGAATACCGGCAAGCTCATCATCTTCCTCTTCTCACTCTTTCTCTCAGAGCCTGAGGAAGCTCCTACTGGAGTTACAACAACCGTGATGAACAGCACAGTCAGAGTCAAGTGGAACGAAGCCCAGAATGTCCGAGGTCTGCTGCTGGGATACAAGGTACCGGTTCCTCTCTTGTCCTGAGCAAGAAAGGTAGCTGTGCTCTCTGTTGGCTCATACCACAGAAACTATGACTTAAAATTAACAGAATTCAACAACATTTTGTGGAGAGTTCGGCCATGAGTCAAGGTGGTGCATATAGCACCCCCATGTGGCCACGTTTAAGCAATTTTTTCTGCCTCCCTTCTTTGTCCCCTCTCCTCTAAGGGGATTGCCAAAATTTTATTATCTAAACTTTTGACTTCTGACATTTTAAAGTTTTGCCTTTGGCAGTCGCAATTTAATAACAGATAAATACACCTTAGTTAGTTTATTAGCAAAATGCTTAACTTTCCATCCCTGTACTAAGACTAACAATGACTGACAGGATTTGGGTGTTCTCCAAAAATCATAATGTCTATATCCAGATGCATATTTAAAGTATTTCTGTTAATTAAATTACAATTTAAAACAGAGGGTTGTGCAGATGTATGCTTTGTCTGAGAACTTCCTAGTTATCCACAGTTCGTGATATGCTTTCTAGTAGAACTGCAGCAATCGTTGATTGAGAGAAAAATGTTAAACAGCTTCTCAAATGTTAAAATATGCAACTTTTTCTTAACATAATTATAAACTGAATATCTTTAAGGTGTGGACCATTGGTTGGACAAAACAAGATGATGCTTTCTGCTTTCTAAAGCTTTGTAGACCAAATGATTATAATATTTGTTATGAAAGCCCCACTTCCCAGAGACACCTTTAAATTTTGTACAAATTCTGTTGATAATGATGTAAAACAGAGAAAAGTGTAAAGCATCACCTTTAAGAAGCTGACACCTGAGAATGTTTAGTATTTTTGCTTCATAAAAGACTACAATCGCTAATTAAAATTGTTGCAAATGAATTTTCTTTCTCAACTAACAGTTTCAGCTGTTGTAAATGTACAAAAGCAAAAGATAAGCCATACTATAGTTCCATCACTAATCCCTCATTGTTGTCCTGCTCGAAACACTGGTTGACCTGTACATTAATTTAATTTTGTCTGCCTCCATGTCAGCTCTACATCAAGAGGTTGGGTCCCCAGGTGCAGAGGGAGCGGAGGTCTCTTGGAAAACAGCATCAGGGGAAGGAGAAAGAGGGGAGATTTGAGCAAGGGCAGGAGGGACACAGGGTGGTGCTGGTACCCAGCATGAAGACCTCAGAGGAGGTAACAGGGCTGCAGCTGTACTCTCGCTATGAGCTGTCTGTCACTGCCTATAACAGCAAAGGGGAGGGCCCTCACTCCCCCCCTCACCACTTCAGCACCCCAGAAGGAGGTGAGTTTAAAAGCAATGTTTTGTTTTAAATGACTACAGTAAGTACTTTCTTCTGGATGTATTTAGCAGATATGCTAACTGCTGTACGCATGTGTCCCATGTGTCCGTGTAGCTCCTGGTCCTCCTGCGTCGTTGACGTTTGAGAGCCCATCAGAGAAATCGCTGATTCTCTACTGGACCCCTCCAGTTGAAACCAATGGCATGCTGCGGGAATACATGGTGCAGTATCAACGAGGTAAGGTTTGCAACTGTAGAAAACTTATTTGGGTGGGATGAATTTATATTCTATTTCATAAAAAAGGCAAGGCATAAGTCATGTTTCCATTGGATTCTCCTCTTGACTTGAAACTGCCAGTTTAAGAATTATAGTCTAAAGGAGTAGAAGGTGAGGCAAGGCATGGATGGTTCATGATGAAGCAGGGGATCAGAATTGTATTTAGGCCCTAAACTATTCAGTGCTTTAAAAACCAACAGCAGTATTTTGGAATAAATTATTTGACAGACAGGAAGTCGGAACTGGAGTGATGTGATCCACCTTTTTGGTCTTAGTGAGGACTCGAGCAGCAGCGTTCTGAATCAGCTGCAGCTGTCTGATGGATTTTTTAGGGAGCCCTGTAAGGACGCTGTTACAGTAGTGAGAGAGTCCTTTAATCCTTGATATATTCTTCAGGGGATAGTAGGCTGACTTTGTAATTGTCTTAATGCGGTTCCTTAAATTCAGGTCTGAGTCCATGACTACACCAAGATTTCTGGCTTGATTTTTGGTTCTTATTACAGATAGAAGCTGAGCACTGACTTTCAATTTTGGCACATCCAATCGTTGACCTCCTCATTACAGTTACTCAGCGCTTGTATGGGATCCCGGTCCCCTGGTGAAATGGTTATGTAAATCTGTGTGTCATCTGCATAATTATGGTAACATATTTAGTTGTTTTTCATAATCTGAGCCAGTGGAAGCATGTAAATGTTAAACAGAAGAACCCCAGAATGGAGCCTTGTGGGACCTCAACAAGAAATTTTTGTTAGCACAGATGTGTGATTACCTATAGACAAAAGTAGTCCCTGTCCTTTAAGTAGGATTCAAACCTGTGCTAGAAGCATAAAATAGAATAAAATGGAAATGCTCAAGTAAAGTACAAGTACCTCAAAAAGGTACTCAACAAACCTACATCCCACCACTGCTGACATCTTCCTGGTTTGTGTTTCCTCTGTAGAAGTGGAGACCAGAGACCACCTGTTGCAGATAGAGAGTATCAATGATCCCAGTGTGACTCAAATTGAGTTGGACAATCTGGACCCCAGCAGCTATTACATCTTCAAAGTCATAGCACGCACCAGCGCTGGAGATGGACCCGCCATCACACGGAGGGGCGCCACCCAGCTTGAAGGAGGTGAAATCAAAGAGATATTTTTTTTACAGCCAAGTGCTTTTATATGTTATTGCCTTACAATTTGAATTGATAGAATTTAAACTTTAGCCGCACCTTTCATAAATTCCTCATTCCTGTCCCCCTTCCTTTCTCCAAAACCTCTAACTGTGTTTGTGTCCTTTCAGTTCCTCCATCCAACATCTCCATAGTTTCCGGTAACACATTACTCAACCTGAGCTGGGTGCCCGGAGAGCGACGCAGGAACCACGCCTTCCACATCCGCTACCTCAGGAAAAGTGGTAAGACTAGGGTGGGAGGAGGAGGGGGGGAGAGAGAGAGAGAGAGTGAGAGAGGAACACAAGGTGATGATGGAGAAATGCAGCTTTTACTTTTCTGCATAATGACTAAGAAAAATGGAGGAGGGGGAAGCAGAGAAGGAAATGGAGACAAAAGAGGATTCCTTTATCAATTATTAAATGTGCACATGTGCTTTTAGGCTTATCCATTTATAAAGTTACCTGCCTTCCAAGATCAACACGTACCTGAGGCAACGACGAACGCGTGAAAATATTGTTTGGTAGAAAGACAGAAGAGGAAGAGAGTTAAGAAATGTTCATGAGGAGAACTTTACTAATCAATGACATTCCTGTGTGTGTGTGTTTGCTGCAGCCGGTGGTCAGTGGGAGGAGTCAGAAGTGGTGAACTCCACGCAGGGTTTCTATTCACTGACAGGCCTCCAACCAGGAACTCAGTACCACCTTGTGATCATGCACGGAAACGACACTCAGTGGGAAGATGAGCATTGGACCATAGGACCAGGTATTTGTCTAGAAACATGCACAAACACACATATTTGGATTTTCCTAACTTGATACTGTAAATTCTGGCTGGAACGTGAAATTACCTGCAGCCTACTAACAGAGCTGGCATGTAAATTGTCCACAGCACTAATTCCATCAGTACACGGTGACGCAGTTGAACAGTGGAATGGAGGGAGAGACCTGAGATAATGTGTGTGGTGAGAGGGACAGGTGCATGCTGGTGTTCTGAAAACCAGAGGAAGTTGTAGTTTAGCCGCTGATTTGGCCCTTTATCACAGTCAGTAGTTGGAGCTGCAGCAGTGATGCGAGGTGATTATGGTAAAGCAGCTGCAAGCGACCATTTGCCAAGGGCATCTACAATCTCCGAATAATAGAAAAAAGACTGTCCTTATAACTCAGAATATGTCTTCATCAGGTTTTAAAGATTTCTTTCTGTATGTCCATGGGTACACTGCAAACAGAAGAGGTAATAGCTATTTAGCACACATTTAACGTGCCAATTTGTAAACAAATACAAGCTAAAAACAGAGCTCAAGTAGTAACCCACAGCTTAGTTCACTGAAAAATTTAACTGAATGTCCTTTAATTACATTACCTAAACTTTAAAGTATATAATGCCCAGAAAAGAATAGGAGTGACAAATTGCATTATTATTAACTTTGCTTGGGTTGATGGGGGGTGTTGGTATTAATCATTTTCTAGTATTGCTGATGATCTCTGTCCGTCTCTCAGCGCCGACGGAAATGCCCAATAGGTTCCCCGCCCAAGGTTGGTTGATAGGACTCATCAGCGCCATTTTACTACTGGTGCTGATACTGCTCATCCTCTGCCTTATCAAACGCAGCAAAGGCGGCAAATACGCAGGTAAGACAAACAACACACACACACACACACACACACTGAGGTACAATCAGACTGTCTACTCAGAGTTGTTTTTTTCCTACAGTGAAGGACAAAGAAGACAAGAGATGGACTCAGAAGCTCGTCCGATGAAAGATGAGGAGTACAGGTGGGTCTTTCCTCACCCTGAGTCATGTAATTGTTTCCAAAGGGAAACAGAAAAGCATATGAACATTAATAGTGTTTTATTATTATAAGGAAATGACAAAATGTATTTGAGGAAATATTAGAATGGCTCTTACAGCAGCTGGCAGGCTGAGCTCTGGCAGGTGAATGTAGCTACATGTCATGGGAAGACAGTGTGTGTTAGTTGCTGGACCACACCAGCATCTAGCCAGAACAAAGGGATGTTTGCAGGTATGTTTACATGCTGTTTAATGTGCTGCAGCTGAGCAGCTAATTAGCTTACTTCAGTGTCTGTGGCTCTTGTGTTGTGTAGCAGGCTGCTGGCAGTGTGACTGTCTGCTCTGCCGCTGAATTCAGGGGTTTTATTGACTGTATGGGTATAAGTTGTCCATATTACAAAGATGAAGAACTAGGAATATTGCAACAAATGAATGCAAAGAATCATCATGAAACTTAAACATATATATAAATATTTTTCTCCATTTCTTCATTTTGGTTTCTGACTTTTTTTCACACACATTTCTCACAGTTTGAGAGCTTTACAGAGCAGATATGTGAAGTGTAATTTATGTTGGACTTTAATGCAGTGGGGTAGAAGTATAAAGTAGCAGACAATGGAAAAGTAAAGTAGCCTACCTACCTTCCTAATTGTACCTATATACTTATAGGTACTTATAACTTATTGTAAGTAGTCAGTATCATGAGCTTTTCTCCTAAGTGTACTGAGATTTATGATGATGCTGTGATAGTCTGAACACAAGTTTCCTCTCAGGAAAGGCCAGTGTGGACTCTCCTCTCCATTACAGAGTGCACTGCTTCTAAGAGGAAAGACAGGAGCTTATTTGATCGACTCAGTGTCCGGCCTCTGGCCCTGTGCTGCTTTACCTACTTTTGTAACAATGCATCACTGATTCAGTCAAACAGGAATCTGAGCGGTTTAATTTAAAAATAAATTACTGTTCCATCCATTTCGATATGTTCTCGATATTTAATTTTTTTTGTACTAATGTTTTTAGCTGCTTGCTTCATTAAGCCGTACAGCTCTAACACTCCCGGCTCTCCTTCCTTTTTACACTTTTCTTTCTTTCCTTTATGCTGTGCCTGCAGATCCCTGGAGAGGTGAGGAAGTTACCTGCCTCTTTAACTCTCACATGCATGTGTTGCTTCTTGTGCCCATGACTGTGTTGTGATGGTGTGTCATTTAATTTAATTAAACTACCACAGTGGTAGAGAGAGCCCGACCTTTATTCCTAATTTCCCCTGTTCCCCAGTTAATGCACACTTAACGCTTCCTCCTTGTTCATCTTTGTCTTCGCACATTCAGTATAAAGTCCATTTCCACTGCAGTAATTCTGTCAGTGCAACAAGAGTCCTGTCAGGTGTTCCACTTTGCCTGTTTTCCTCAACAATGTTAAGCTACCATAAATTAAAACTCAACACTTACTTCTGAATTTTACTTGCAGCCTTCATTTAATAGATATACTTTTAATGTAAAAAATCCAACAGGAAGTCCTGGGTTTTGTTGACAGTTTAACATTGATCAGGAGTATGACAAAGAAGAGCTGGAATTAACCGGAGTAGGAAACATTTTCTCTGTTAAAAAAGACAAACCCAGAGCAGCAGAGTGACGAGTATTCCACGACTTCGTTGTTGTACTGATGAAATTAGTATCATATTATTATTAAGTTATTATTATATTTATACTAAATTAAGTATGTGGGCTGTTGTAGTAAGGTAGGGGAGACCGGGGATTGTTGTAACACTTTTGACATTTCTTTCTGTATCTTGGAGCTCTTTTAAACCAGTATGTTTAAAATCTGAAACTAGTAACATTTGTGCTATTAAACGGTGTGGCTGTCATCTCTGCAACACAGACAGAAAATGTCTCAAACACAAGGAGTTAAACGTTACAATGCACCCATAGTCTGGGTTAGTTGTAAATACACTGTGGTGAAATGTAATGTAGCAATAAGGAATATGAGAATAAACTGATTTGTAAAGGTTTCAAGATTCAACAGTTAAATTATAATTTTATTTTACAGTAACAGTGACATAGTAGTGAATATAATAATACAATTTAACAAACTGTGCAAATCTGCACCAGCTGAATATTAGTGTGAGTTTGTGCTTGTTTGTTTGCACCGTCACAGTGGTGATCGACATATGGCACTCCAGGAGCGCACATGGCTCATGGGCCCCCAGAGAAGCCTACAGGTCTGACACTAACATTTGAACATAATAAAAAACAATTCATCATTACTGTGTGTCAGACTCATCCAGAAATTCAAAGAAAACATATAAATAGAACAAAATATAATCTTGGTGTAGGTTGTAACATTTACACTGCTGTAACTATTTTAGACTCTTGTAGCCATGACCTAGCTTACCTTTCAGCTAAAACTTTGCATAAAGGATATCTACATAGACACAAAAAAACATGATGTTCGATGAGTTTAACTACAAAGCTGAAAAAAAAAATGAAGCAAAATTTTTTTATCTCAAAATAATTTTTGACCTTATAAAATTGGCTGTGCTGCCACAGTTTGCTACTTTTTCCCATGCAGAATAAGGACTAAACTGAGCATGTGCAGAGTGAATCAGGTGATTCGTAACTTGTTTCTGATTGGAGAAACTGGATGTGTTACAACTGACCTGGGTTACAACCCCCCGGTCTCCCTTACAAGTCTCCTTCCGTGTGCTTCTATCAGGGACCGGCCCTTTAGGTCCTTGCTCGCCATGGCCTATTATTTGAATTCCAGCTTTTATATGAGAGTTTACAGTAATTACTGACGGTGTTTCTCCCTCTGTTGTCTTTCAGTGATCCAGATGAGAAGCGCTCAGACAGCCAGCCGTCCCTGTGCCCGGAAAGTAAGCTGGGCAGTGACGACTCTCTGGCTGAATACGGGGACAGCGTGGACATCCAGTTCAACGAGGACGGCTCTTTCATCGGCCAGTACAGCGGCCGGGGGCCCGTTCCCCACGGCAACGAGAGCTCTGGTCCCGCCTCCCCCGTTAACGCAGTCCCGCCCCCCCCATCGCTCCATCCATGTCGAGCATCCTGAACCGGCCCACCTAGACGCACACATTACAAAAACACACACATATACACTGCCTGCCTGCAACAAAACACAAAGGGACAGACCACTCCTGACTCCACTGCCTGTGATCTTATTGTGCAAGAATACACACATACATACATATACACTGTCTCAATACATTCCACAGGTTTATGCAGTGAAGATGTTTACAGGATGTCTTGCCTTTTCTACTACAAGTTTACACACACACACGCACACACAAACAAACACACCTACAAGCAAACACATACAACCAGATAGCCCTTCACTCTTCTATAAGAAAGAAAGACAGAGGGAGGTGGAGCCAGCTGCACCAGCTGTTTGTAAATTCAATATTAGCCAAGAAAGTTTTACTAAGTCAGAATGTATGCATCACTAAATTAAAACAGGTTGCACCACAAACCTGTCGTAACGTGGAGAGAAGACGTTGCTAAATATTCACATCTTGTAACTCCCGGATGTTACGGCTGAGTAGCTGATAACCAGCTGAACAATTTGCCTGCTACAAGAATAAAAAA